ACATATTTATATTCACATGTTTTAGTTATACAGTATTATTTACTTGTGATGACAATAAAATGTATTATATTGTTTTGTGTTATAAGTATTCACATGTTTTAATTATTGGCAGAAAGTGTGAGTTTATATTGACATATATCGACTGTAGGCCCAGACTAGAATCTATGCTACGGTTCTAATGGAGAAACTTGACTAATTTCTCGAAATTATTACCATTAAAGCATGTAAATGGGCCTAGAAACGAAGTCTAAAAATCACAGTGAAACAACGATTTGTTTTCAGTTATAATTCATAATTTCTATACATTATGTAAAGTTAGTGAGTTTACTGGTGAACAAGTATAAAAACCTAGATCAAGCTTAAACTTATTTGTCGGAAAATTAGAAGTTTTTGTTTGATCTTGAATTACTTTGAATAGCCAGCTAACACAATATTTAGACTATCATACGTGTAGCTAGAAATCATCCACGAAGGGCCCTAACTCTTCATTGGTTCACTGGACTTACAACGTCTATGTAAGCTATTGGGCCATAACGTTTTGGTTCAACGCGTTGTTGAAATAGCCAATACGAGTGTTGTAATTCTTGCTAGGCCTCATATTTTTAAGCATATATAAATATACAAAACTCTTTAACTTGTGAGGTGAGCAAAAGACAGTTTTATTGGCTATTTCGACAACGCATTCAGTCGGTACGTTGATTCTGCTGGCTACCTATTTACAGGGCTATAACCAGGGACAAATTAGGAGGGGGTCGGACCAGCTCGTGATTTGATTATTGTACCGGCCCTAGCCTCTTGGAGAGAGGGAGGGGGTTTAGACTTAATTAGAATTAAGTAATAGTTGTATGCATAGCCTAAAAAATCATAACTTTAGTTTAAAGTAACTAATAATTTTATGTTCAATTTACATTAATAGTCTGGTGGGCCGGCGATTGCACTGCCCGTTGTTATGGTCAGTCCGCCCCTGACCATAACATCTTAATCTAACTCATTCAGTTATGGACCGGTAGATAGTAGCCATCCTGCTAACAGCCGAACATCGACAACGCGTTGAGCCAATACGTTATTGACTACCAGTCAATGCTGTATGGACAAAACGGTTTGTCATAAACGTCTCTGAATTAGCCCTTTGGATCAATAACACGATAAGCACGTGATACGAGACTGTACTACCGTATTTATGTAAATTACGTTAGAATTCATATTGGCTTGGCTGTAGAATAAAATATCTTTATTTTGAGGCTAAACTTGTCTTTAGTCATTCAGTCTCTTGATTCAGAGGCTCTGAAAATGCTCTTCTCTCAATTCTGCATTATTAAAATACTTCGAAACTCTTTTTTTTGGTTCTTGTTTTGGATTGGACTAACGTTGCATATTGTACACTGTAACTCACCTATTTAATTTGTATCTGTGCATGTCGATTCATCAAGTGTATTCGAAGTAGGGATCTGGTCATATTGAAATGTGTTGAACTTTGAAGCAGACAAAGAGTTAATCTTGGTTTGTTTTAGAACATAATACAATGTCTTTAATTCAAAACAATAAGATAAATATGTAGCTATAGTAACAATTTTAAACCGAACCTTATTCTTGTAAATTTCCTAACGTTGATTGAATACAATGATTGATAATTCGTATTAAACATTTCCAGATTCGTTTGTTAATGCATAAGAGTCAAGTTTTCTCAACAGGAATAAAACACCTTGCTTTTATATGCTGTAGCATATATGTATGTATGTATGTACGTACGTATGCATGTATCACCCACGTTAGGAGCTTATATCAACGCCTCCGCCTATTTCATTGCATATAAAGTTGATGGGGTTATTTATTCGCAGTTCTATTGATATGTCATTGTCGTCTTACTGTCTTAGTTTTGTGTAAGTTAACGTACATACCCAGGTCCTTGAACCTTGGCATATTTCTAATTATAGTGGATATCACACGGATGCCGTAGGAATGCCACAATGCTTAACGAATTGGGCAAGATATGCTCAGTGTAGTTTGTACCGAAACAGACTGTGTATGATAATGCAGCTTAGTTTAAAGTGGAACTTTAGCCCACTGGTTTGATAAATTTCGAAACTAATGTACAAATGAGCGTACCATATTTAAACTGTTTTTAATCTCTGAAAAAGAAATATTCAAGACATCTATGAGACATGTAATAATCCTAAAAAAATAATAATCCAGGGAAAGACCGATACATCACAATATGTTACCAGGTTTTTGTTTCTAATGCTTACACATGTTAACAACAAACTACCTAAAGTCCGATAAAGAAAGTCGTGTAGAGTTAAGCTTAATTAATCGTGTTTATTAGTACCGATGGAATAAAAAATAGTATATAATAATACAGCATGTGCAGTCACAAAACCATGTGCCTTTTTATGTGGAGAGCTAGATGATCTGAGCGGCTAAAGGCGCGATCACACAAACTACATCTAAAAGGCCTAACTCCTGTGTGTTTACGATAATGCCTAGTGAGCTCGTCTGATCGAGCAAACTTCCAGCCACAGCCTTTCCATGTGCATTGGTAAGGTTTCTCTCCTGTGTGAGTCCGAACGTGGGCCTTGAGGTGAGAACTCTTCGTGTAAGTCTTTTCGCAGCCTATATATGAGCAGGAATGCCTGAAAGTTTTTTTCCTTATATCATTTTTATTCACCATTTTCTTTAGAGTTTTTGGTGCAATGGGTACCAAAAATGGTTGAGTTGCTTTAGCCCCATTATTGACATCAGTAAGGTGTGGGGAAGATGGTGGAGTAACCAGCCGAGGAGAACTGGGCTGAATAGTTCTCCCTGTTTGCTGGCTTCTGACATATTGTTCGTAGTAATTGTTAAAATTGCCACAGTTCGAAACTGGATTCGTTCTGTTTTGTTTTTGTATCCCAATTGGTTTTTTCACATGAAATACGATCCTTTCTGGTGAAGCAGGAGGGGAAATGTGGCCGTAGGAATACAATAGTTCTGAAGAAGGACTTTTACATTCAGCAACCATCTTTATATGTCCAGAAGAAACCTGTTGTTGTGGTTGCTGCTGTGTATATTGGCAATTAACCAAGTTCATTTCGTGGGCAACTTCTGCAAGACTCCTGGACGGAATACAACGGTTATTCGAATACTGCTGTTGAAGACCGTAATTACTATCAGCCGAAAGTTGCATATAACTAAGATCAACAACATTAGGAGAATCACAGTTTTTTCCTGGCAGTTGGGGTAGCTTTGTTAACTGAGATACAGTCTCTGTTGATTTTTGAATCTGATGTTTTGCTACTTGGAGCCCTGCTTCCATTGCATTAGTTCTCAGATTCAGATTAGAACCTAAAGCAAGTTGGTTTTCTCCAAGAAGAGTAACCTCCATGTCTAGCCATATCTGTGGATTAGAAAGAGAGATAACTTAATGATAATAATTCACGGAATTTTAACATTATTGTCTTTATGTTTTATTAATGTGTAATAGACTGCATTCTGCCCAAAATTGACAACATTATCACTTTTAAAAACAAGGCACTGATATGAAATTATAATAGACGAAACTAAATTACATAAACAATAGAAATTTCATTCAAATATAAATTCTAAATATATATCTTTGGAGAAGTACACATCGTATATTTGTGGAGGAGCAAACACTATATCTGTGGAGAAGTACACATCGTATGTTTGTGGAGGAGTAAACG